CTACCTCTATATAAAAAGAGGTGGAATATCTGTCTGTTTTCCCGCCCAAAATAACGGATCAAATTGGGGTTGGGTAAAAATATTGAGATTCTTGAGCTTTGCTGCAGAGGTGGGCCAGTCACATTAAATGCTCTTTGGGCGTAGCTCAACTGGTACCAAGGGAGTGCCACAAGGGTTAGGTCTCGGGTTCGAATCCTGGCAACTGCGATGAGGGGTTACTATGCTGAAAAATGCACAGGGCCTCTGCAAGTACCGGGGACAGAGCCCCACTCTCTATCTGTCAGATTGTGATTATAGTCCAATTTACATCCTCCCATCGTGATGTCCGGTCGGTGTTGGGGGGCCCTCAGGGATGGGGTGTCATCCTTTTGCGTGTTAAAGCCTACCAAGAGCTAAGTATGTTGCATGCCATCTGATGAAAAGTTTTCTGACTGTTTTTGTTTTACTGATATCCGGAATCTATCAAAGGCCAACAAATAAGCAAACAAAAGCAAAGGATTTTAATAGCATTGGATTTTATTAAAAGCAAATATATTTTTCCAGTGTGTTGTCAATTGACTCAATTCAGATGTCATGCTATTAACCATAAGATAATTTGTGATACATCACCCAAGCTTTTAACAAAATGTAGTATAAATAAGGCCAAATTTATCAGCTAGGCACCACACAACTTAGCATGGGCAATGAAGTGGTCGCTGTAGGCAGTGGCGGACCGAACATGGGGGCAAATGGGGGATTTTTTCCCCTCAAAATTTTATTTCCCTGGGTATATTTACCCTGAAATTTTAATATATATGTATTTGTATGTATATTTTAACCCTGTCACCCCTCCAAACCGGAATTCCTGCGTCCGCCGCTGGCTGTAGGGATCTTTGAAGCTCCATCGAATTTCAATGGAGAGAGACGCTAGCAATCCTTTGCCCATTATGATAAGGTTATCATTTTCTTTTTAGTATTTTCTTAAAATAAAACAAATAATGTGTGTCTTCTTATTAGTTTTCATATCAGGTCAACATTCAACATAATCCGCAAGGGATATTAATGCTCAACGAGGATCAATGACAAAGAACTCGTTCGTGAGGCTCAATCAATATAATCGATCCCTATCATTTGTATTTTTTGGTATCATAGATTTTAATCCATATGCATCATGCAGTTAGATTATTGCACTGAAGTTAGTATTGGTACATGTTTTGCTTAGCCCTTGTTATCTAACATAGTAGTTAGAGCTTTGACACCATTCTAACTTGACTTTTGTACATATTCTAAAATTTAAAGAGTTGAACACTAGTTTGAGATTCTGGCAATACTATGAAGTTGCCTTCTATCAGTTCATATTTACCTTTTTCATAAAGCATAAGATTATATTACTAGTGTACTAATCAGTTTTACTTCATACTTCGTATGAGTAATATGCCATTTAAACTGCAGCAGGTTTAATTTCTAAATCAATTAGATTACTTGCTGCAATTAGAGAAGAAGTTGTTGCAATAAGAAATTAATTTAGTGTACTAAGACTTGCTGCAATTACAAAAGAAATTGATGCAATAAGAAATTGATTTAGTGTCCTAATACTTGCTGCAATTACAGAAGAAATTGATGCAATAAGAAATTGGTTTAGTGTACTAATACTTTCTGCAATTAGGGACACAGTAGATTGTGGACTCCTTAACAGAAATTTAGATGTTCAACCTCAGCTTGTTTTGGGTTATAGCTACACTAAGATCTTTATCACTGCAGGCGTTGTTTTGGTTTTTGGCTCATGTGTATCACTTTTTGGTGTATAAGCAAGGTGATTAATACAAATTCAACAAAGAAAAACTCCTATTGATAAACAACATGTCCTAAATCAAAACAACATGCTCTTGAATTATATTAAACATAATAACAGTAGAGTTAACAACACAAGATAACAACAACATAGACATACACAACATAGATTACTACAACTATATACTAGACAATACTACAATTACAACTTCATGATAATACTAACAGAGACTATAACAACGGAGGCAAGAACATCATTCAACATCTCAATGTTTCATAAGAAGAACAACTGTCAATACTAGCCCACTAATCATAGCAAACAAGTAAGCTATCTTTTTCTGCTTCTTCATTTTTTCTTTATCTGCTAATGAAACTCCACGCTGTTGAGTACCATGATTCTTCAAACTTTGCAATTCACTCCATAAGTGTTGTATTTCGTGTTTTACCAATTCATCTTTCATGTTGCCTCTTAAAAAATTTAGTCTCTTATTCTCCATTTGCAACACTTTTCTTTCTAACTTCAGCTCATTTATCAAATATCTAGCCCAAACCGGTAATGCTTCATCATGCCATTCAAAGTGTCTGCATCCATTGACCTGGACATTTTTTATTCATTTTTCGATTAAGAAAACATGAAAAAAAATTACATATAGATACAGAAAACCATAAATATCCCAAGAAGGAAAAATTCAAGCGAAAGAAAAGAAATCTTACTTTGTAGTTTGGACAACTGTAGAAGTGACGTCCAGGGTTGCCCTGAGAATCTGATATGAATCTTGGAGCTTTTTATCCACAAAAGCATTGTTTGTGCTGTCCTTCTTAGTTAAGCTCGAAAGTCGTTGGATTTACAGAGCTACTGGACGGAATGGAGGACGATGCAAACATATAAAATACAGAGAAGAAGATAGAAGCTTGAATCAAGTTGCTGCTTAAATTTGATGAAAAATCCTAGATGTCGCTGACCAGTGGAGTGCGATAGAGATGAAAGAAAGGATGGAATTCAAATGGAGTAATTTTAGATCTGACGGAAAAGTTTTAAACAGTTAGATCTCCAACGGTAGAATGTGCGGTGCACATGTGGCATGAGAAATAGTCACATAAATATTAACAAATAAATTATTTTTCTCCTTATTTAAATGATTTTATACAGTTTTGATATGTTTTTCCCTGCAATGTCAACATCTAGACGGTCCCCTTGACATTGTGGAGAAAAACTTACCAAAACTGTACAAAATCATTCAAATAAGGAGAGACAGAATTTATTTACTAATATTTATGTGGCAATCTCTCATGCCACATGTGCACCGTGCACATTCTACCATTGGAGATGCTCTTAGGGAGGGTGGATTTGTACCCCAATTTCAATTTTATCAGTTTTTTGTTCCAAATAGAAGAATAAGGGTATATATGTTCCCTCACTAATAGTTTAGGGATATATACATTCCTTTTCCCCAAAAAAAAATAGTCAACTGTGTAAATTTATTTAGTAAAAAAAATATCGGAAAATCGCGGAGCTATTTAGTAAAAAATATATAATAGATATAATCACCTATGTAAATTTATTTAGTAAAACGATGTAAATTTATTTAGTTTTCTTTTTATTTAAAATAATTATATCTGAAAATGGTGGAACTATATCATAATATAAGGTTTTATTGTTTAATGAACAACAAAAACACGCAAATATTGGCTAAATTTAAAGATACTCCATATGATATATCCAAAAATCATTTAGTACAGGTATTCCATTCCAGGTAGTCTAAACATTTAATTATACATTAATTAAACTGTTAACAGATCATATTATATTATATTACTTAATTTATATTTCGTGCATCGCATGGGTGTAAATCTAGTATAGTGGAACGGAGGTAGAATATTTTAGCAAGAGTCAAGATTCACGAGGTTATAGTGTTATGACTTATGAAGCTGGGTGATGTTGATACATCCATCAACTATTCAACTCATGAACCTCCAACCAATATGGCAAAGTTTTTGGCTTAATTTTACAAATGTGACATATTATGTTCTCAGCTCAGATCAGGGACGGATCCAAGATTTCAAATCAAGGGGGCAATTTTTTTTTCATTAGTGTAGGGAGTGAAAAAAAAAATTGCTAGTAAGCGGGGCGGAAAAAAAAATCGCTAGTGTAGTGGGGCGAATGTTTTCGCTGATGTAAAGTTCTGCGGCTAATTTTTATTCAAAAAGCTCTTTTAGTACATACGGAGTACTACATAAAAGTTAAAGGATATTTAACATTTTATGATATTATTTGAAGGTAAAGAGGTTAGAATTAAAGGTACACATCAACCAATGCTTTTTAAATAATTCATGTCTTGTTTAACAACATGAATCTTAACAGAATAAAGAATTGGTTTTTGAATTGAGATTTTTGTCTATCAAGGAGGGTATTTGTGGGTCACGATGAATTTTCTTAATATTACAATAGTATGTATGAGATTATAATACTTAGAATAATATGATACGTAGTAATGTTAATTCATGTATATGGTGCATATTATATTTGTATTAATTCTAAAATAAGTTAAAGTATTATCTATTCTACAAATTGTTTTTAGAAAGTAAGAGGTAAATGAAGTGTGCAATTTAATATCAACAAACATTTATACTATTTAACTACTGTATCTGATATTCAATATCATTTGATATCTTACAAAATCGAGTACTAATTATCTAATAAAAATAATTAAACATTACAAAACTAAGAATTTTTAGATATCCTAATTCTTAAACAATGAGTTCTATTGTTTATTTGTTTAAGTTATGTAAATTATTTTAGATTCTACTTCTTTTAAATTTCCAATTAAGTATTACATTATGTGAGTCTATATATTAATTTTGAAAACTAAATGTTAATGGGGGAGAAAACATATATATCTAATTAAAGAATGAAAATTTAATGAAAATATTACGAAGTAGAAAATTTTGGAAATACAAGGGGGGCGGACGCGCCCCCTAGATCCGTCCCTTACTCAGATGTCTATTAATACTAGTTTTTACAACGCGCGTTGCGCGATAAGAAAGATGCCCAATACTTAATTCACTTTTGGATGTTTCCCTCAAGTTTCATAAATTGCAAGCTATACGTACATATAATGTGATATGTAATGTATAATGGTGAAGTGAAAAACTAATTCATGTGCTACATATTAATGTCTGATTAAGTTAAAAGTCACTATACTTAATCTACTTTGTTACCAAAAGACGTGTGGTATAAAGTTAGAATTTACTTGTAGGCATCGCTAAATATAAACGTTTTATACTTTCTTGTACATATTTTTTTAGGAAGAAAAAAAAGAGATACCATCTAACAAAAGTGGTCGTGTTGATTTCATTTACTCTAATAGAGACACATTAATGGAGTTCTCGAATGAAAAACAAGAATCCAAAAACTTGTCACAAGACACGAAAGAAGAAAAAGATGACAGGAAAGTCATAAGTTTAACTTTGTTCTTCACCACCAACTTGTTGGTCCTTCGCAGCTGCTGCTGCTGCTGCAATTGGGTCATCACATATGTCACCCTTCCCCAGCCTCAATTTTGGCTTTTGGGACTGGACGTCCTCTTGAATCATCTCGAACATCAACTGTTGACGTCATGATCCACTTCTCAATAGCCAAACCATTGTTCTTCAGAATTTCAGTTACTGAACTACAGTGGAAATAGCCATTCCAAGCCCAGAGAGCTCAACCTCATTGTGCTGGTGGCTGCTGCATATACCACTTGGCTAGATTGACGTAAAAGAATAGTGGCTTCTTGGCATATACGATTCTTCTTCTGAATGTCACCCCCGGTGATACTAACGTTGTTGATTCCTTCAGTAATCTCCTCCATTACTGATTCCAGATTTCCTTCGAATAAAAATTTACCCTAACAGTTGTTGAAATCAAGCAGATAGAAGATAACGAGAAGGCGAAAATCAAGTAATCAGTACTTGTAAAGGTGTAAAGGAATGCATTGACAGCCTTAACTTTTTGGGGAAATTATGTATGGATCATCATCAGATTGACTTGACTAAAATACATAATTAAATATCACATTATTGTAAAAAAAAAAAAGAAAAATCACAATATTGTATCACATCAGGAAGACCATATGCAAATGACAAATCAAGTTTGAAATGGAGAAATAGATCTATTGAGAAGGATGCAACCTCAGTATCAATGTGGATGTCATATCACTCTCTAGGTCGCAGCAGCTAAATTAAATCATACATTATCAAAATGAATGTCACCATTATCATGTTCACTTGATAAACAAACATATACAAGGAAAAAACAACCTAAAATTCTCATCGAGTTATGTGTTTAGTGGTACCTAGATCTTTTACCTTGAGAGCTAGAACAAAATATTAATCATTCACATTCCAAACGTACACCTTAAGATGATTTTTATTTCATGGTTTAAGGGCTTTCTCTACTTTAAAGTCTCTAAAGAAGGGGGTTCATAATCAGAGGGCTACAAAAGCATTAACCTCTTCTTTTAATGCATTGTGGGATGTAACTTGCACGATCAAGCTAAATATGTTTTCTCAAATAACACACTAAGCATAATTAGTCAACTCTTAATAGGCAAGTTATAATATAGTGCAAGTTTCTGAAAGCACAAACAGAAAAGAAAAAACAAAACTCAAACTCCATGGCATGATGTGCAGTTACTTTTATATCATGGATAAGAAACTGGTGAACCAAAAAGATTTAAAAATTCATAGCTATAGTATAGCAGTCTTGTTATAGATGAGGGTGATGGTGGAACAATACAATGACAAATGTTAGTTCAAAACAATTTCTTATTCCCAAAGTAAGAACAATACCAATATTAATAATATTATTAATGATCATGATGATAATAATATTATAATAGGAACACAAACCATTTTGTTAAAGGCTAGGAAAACATGCCTTGAAAGACACCACCTAAATGATACAACACAATAAAATATTTAAAAATATATGGAAAAAGTAAGTAATATTTTAATTTGAAACTTGAGAAGTAGAAACAAAACCAACTAAAATTAATTATAATAAGCCCTAGAACAATGTATTAATAATAATACATCAGTGGGGGAAATGCAAACTACAAACTTACAAGCCGTCTTTTCTTTCAAGATTAATAATTATGAAGGAAAAAATTTTGTCTCTTGTGGTTGAACTAAATAAAATAATTGTGTAAAAGTGAAAATTATTGATAGGCATGTAAAGTGTCCAAAATAATGAGATGTCACAACTCCTTGCAAATCCACTTTAGTGCTAACTTGCCATATACATTCTAAATACTGAGATGTCATCTTATTCTTAGTAAATAAGCATAAGTTCTTTTAATGGATATAATCCAAACAAAGACACAGAGAATAAAAGCGAGAAAACAAAGAACCATACATTGTTCTAGGGCAGTAAAGCTTTAGTAATAACTTTGTCTGGTACGGTGAATATGTTGTATTGCAGGCTGTAAATTCGCCACATCCTACAAGATATGAAAGAATTGGTATGAAACAATTCTGCTAATGTTGAATATTAGTTGAATATTATTTAAAGTTTTCCAAATAAGTAAGCAAAATAGAAACATTTGGTGCAACGGGTCTATTCAAAAACATAGAGAAAGAGAACTTATGCGAGTGAGAAACAATATTCCGCCGCTCAGAGATAAATTTTCGTATCACAATGGGCCAACAGAAACATAAATCATAAATGTAACAAAGCTAATCAATTAGAATGAGAAAAAGATTTTGTTGTTGTATTGCATTACAGAGTGTATATGGAGATAAACATGAACTTTGTTCGTTGGGAATATAGTGTCCTAGGAAGTTCATAATAAGTAAACAATGAATATAGCTTTAAGTACCAAAAAAATCATAATGTAAATCTCTTTTGATAAAAGTATGTCCTGAATGGCTTAAGTACCAAAAAATGTAAATCTGTCTGGGGAGTCTTAGTTTATACTATGATGTTATAGTGGCTAATACCATACAATAAGAAGGACCATTAATGACCTAATAAGCATTAAAATTGTATGGCATATTGTTGTTCGGCCGAATATATTGGTAGGTTGCCTTTTTACAACTATATTAGGCCATTTGGTCTCATTCATATTACATTCTTCTTTGGATTATAAACCGATTTGATCATTGGCAGTTTTTTTTTTTTTTGAGAATATCATTGGCAGTTTTTTATTACAAATACAAATTGGATATTTACTTAGAGGCCTCTTCAGTAGCTCTTCTGGGTCTTCAAAAATATTGAAATCGTCCTAATCTCAACATCAAAGAGTGCTCATCAGTTGCCCATATTTCAATGGTAACATACAAGGAAAGTGGACGAATCCATTGAATTACAATAAACTCACATGAAAAGAGTAAAAGGCGAATCTTATTCACCCATACATGATAATGGCACTGTGGTTTTATTAATCTCAGTGATAGAATATACAAAATCACACCGCCCTATATTCGTATGGATGAAGAGGCTATCAATGGATTTTACCGTGCGAGGAAGCCGATGAATTGCGAAAGTTTTGGGAACGTTCCGGTCCCGCAGTTCTTCTGCTCTCGCCCAATTTTTCCGTTGTCTTTAGCCTCTTCTCGCAGCTCTTCCGGTCTCGCCCAATTTCCTAGCTCTTATACCCATAGTGGTCTTAGCCATCTCTCGTCCGTCGTTCTACTTCACTCACCGGCGCCAACAATCGAGTTTGAGGCATGCGGTTATGATTTTAGGATTTAAACATCCCAATTTAAAACCTGGCAAGAGGTTAACGAACCTAGAGAAATTGGATGGCGTCAGAACCTTGCGAGAGTTATTCAACAGAAAACGCGGGTATAAAGCAGTGAAAAATAAGAAGTGTACTCTGCCTTTATCATGATCTACAACCATACATAGCTTAGAGTTTACACCAACAAAATTTTCATTCCTAAAAGGGTATTAACCCTCATTGACCATCATAATATTTTAGATGCTTCTAATTGCCATTATACGTAGTATTACTGATTGCATTCAGAAAGCTTAGTATTGAGGGGAGATAGCACAAGACATCGTCCACTTTTCTTTAGAAAAGTAACCCGTAAGATCATACCCATGTCCTGTAGATTCTGGATGAAGTATCCATGTAAGATAGATAAGTGCCAACCTATAAATATACATGCATAGCGACAATATTTATGCAAATACCTGTTTTACAGAGCATATTCTATTTCAATTAAATATTTTGCTAGAGGACCAGATCATTCATGACAAAGTAGAGTATAATTATATCAAAATCGTTGTAGTTTCTTCAAATTAAAATATGTCGCATTTGGTCACTGACACTTTGAACAAACCAACATTGTAACATGAAGAGTTTTTAAGTGATGTGGCTATTTTACTTACATTTGATGTAACTTTGATGTAAATATGTTGTAAAGGTGGTGTGATATGTTAAACAATGTGATGATGCCACATATCCCTTTTGTAAGACTTTTTGTAAGAGTTTTTGTACCTCTAGCATATAAGTCTTACCATTAAATAGCTCTATCTTTATAAACTAGCTAGAACAATCCGTTCATGGGGCCTCATCCTCATCTCACCTACTATATATGTATGGATTAAAATAGATGATAATAATATCATTGAAATTGAAGTTTTGTAGTCAAGAGAATAAAAATAGTTGGAATACAAGGTAAGGTACTCCAAATTTCAATGGAAGCAAAAAAAACTCTATCAAATTGAAGTTTCTCATAAGCAAAGCACAAGAGGGCACACTACGCCATTTTCAATCCTTAATTACCACTTCATGAAGTAAGTTTAAGAAAACAAATTGATTAATAGCTAGGCTAATATATCAAATTTTTAATTAATAATTATTTTTTTGACGAATTACGGAAAATTAATTAAGACAGAAGGCTCCATGCTTGATCATCTCCATGTGCTGCTGCAAGGACCTCGCTTAATTAAGATTTAAGACTACCTTTGCAACCTCATCTCCTCATTGAACTTCTGGAAGAACGCTTCAACTCGCGAGTTCAACTCGTCTAGACTCAGCCACGGTTCCCACCACATCTTCGCCGCCGAGCACCCCTTTGGCAATTCGCCGTAGTTTGACCACTCCTTGAACGTCTGTTACTTTAGCTGCTGTCTCTTGAGCTACGTCGGCGGCACATTGCTCCTCTCTGCGATCTTTTGCCTAGACATGGCTTCCAATGTTGTTAGACCGTGAACTGAGATTGTAACGGATCTTACAAAAAATCATAGCGGCGTGACAAGTAGCAACTTCTCGATCCTATTTTCTCCGGAGCGAGAAAAAGGAGTTGAAATTTGAGTCAGAGGCAGGTCAGGCAGCTATTCTCGTCCGCACCACGCTTGTTATTAGATTCCTAAATTGATTTCATACTTGATTTTCCATTCACACCATCCCGTGAGACGATATCCAAAACTTCCACATCCTGACACCCGATGAGCATTATAGTGAATAGGCCTGGACTCGGGCCGGGCGACCTACCCCGGAACCGGCCCGAACCGGTTACTGTTTAAATCGGCCTGAACCGGTTACTGTTTGAACCGGCCTGAACCGGTTACTGTTTGAACCGGTCCGGGTAGGCCCGACCCGCTAGGGTTCCAGTCCGGGCTCGGGCCCCTCAAAAGGTGAACCGGCACGGCCGATTCAGACCCGGTTTGGGCCAATTTATTTATTTATTCTTTTTTCTTGAATTTTTTTTAAGTTTTTGGGTTGGGCTGGGTATTTTGGGCCATTTGAGGTGGTTTGGAGTTGTTTGGGGGTGAGGGGGGAGCCGGGGAGGGTTGGGGGTTAATTAGGAAAAGCCAAAAAAAAATTTAAATTGAACCGAGGCCCGGCCCGGCCCGGACCGACCCGGACCCAAGGGTTACCCGGGCCGGTTCCGGGCCTCCCCTTTCATGAACCGAGGCCTGGCTGGGCCCAGGCCCGAACCGGCCCGAGTCCAGCCATAATTGTAAATATGACTCGTCATGTGTCATTTACGTTTTTAATAGATCAATATTTGAGAATATTCGATTGTTGGCTGTTTAAATGCTTTATGGACGGGTCTGCATCAAGAGACACCTTCGCATCTGGAGCTGTTTTATTTTTACTGAAGTCATTTTGCAGATTCATCCAGGCAGTTTTTACCAACACGATCCATAAGTACAGGAATTAGAAGTATAATTCAATGGTGTAGAAAACTTCACATCAGTACTAAATTACTAACTAATAGTCGCTTTCATTAAGCTATACAACTCGTCAGCCACTTGGAAAGTAGCAGGACGTTCACGCCTGTTTTCGCAGATACATTTTTTCCCTAAATCTATAAGTTGTGCTACTAAGGGGGTGTTTGGAACTGATTCTGCTTCTGCTTCTTTTTTAAAAGCAGAAGCAGAATCAGAATCAGTTTTCAGAAGCTAGTATCCCCCAGCTTCTAAAAAAACTGATTCTGAGAGTAAATTAGAGCTCCAGAAGTGCTTCTGGAATTTCACCCAAACACTTCAGCTTCTGCTTCTGCTCCCTGAAGGAGCTGAATCAGTTTTGAGAATCAGATCCAAACACCCCCTAAATATCTATTGTACTCAGGTTGGACAAGCAGGTATTCCTGGATTTGATGTTCACAAGCACCTGAATCAGGAATGAGCCTACTGACTCTGTTAATAAGTGGATCACCTTCATCGCGTTTAACAGGAATCTTAGTCATCATTTCAAAAATTAGAACCCCTATAAAGTAAATTTCAGCCTTGGCGCAATCAATGTCACCTAAGATTTGAAGAAAAGAATAACATTAGTAAAAGACTAAAAGCGGATACGTATGTAAAGTTTATTTTCAATATTAAATTAACTTAATTAATAAAAATATAAAAACATAAACTATTTCAATAACTTACCCCAATAAGAGTCATCGTAAACAGGATCTGACCGTTTACGCCTCTCACCAACAGATGAGATCGTGCCAAAATCGCCCAATAAAGCTTTATCACCCTAGAATTAAAAAATAATAGTAATATCACAAGAGCTGAATTCAAATTGTTAGTATGTGTTAATTCTATAAATCATTATTAGCATGTAAATATTATTATTATTACTTTTAACAGAATGTTCTCCGGTTTAAGATCACCATGAATAAGTGAAATAGGAAAGTGGGAATGAATCAAATGCAACCCGAAGGCTATGCCATGTAAGACTTTCACAATTGAGCGCAAGCCTAAATCTGCAAAAAGCCATACATTTCACGTCAGATTAAAGTAATATGCGCATACCAAATGTTTGATATTTTGCCTCAAAGAATATTAGTTAAATGTACTATCTACGAAGTACTTCGTATATGTTTACAGGATCATGATGAATACTACGTATTATCTTTATGTGAGTTCTGAGGATTACTTCATAGGCATAAACTTTTATCAATTTCTTATACAAATAAAATAAAGAAAATTTTGCATGACCCTATGTTTGCTCCCCTTGCCTTAAGGACCATGCTCTTGAGCAAGCTACCTACTTTCCCGCTCAATAACAATGAAGTCACGTTTATTTCAATCTTTATTTATTTATTTAGTTCAAGCTTTATTTTATTGTTTTAAGGTCCAAAAATTTTAAGGTCACATAGTCTACAAACCTTATGAATAAAGCAACATCGATTTATATAGTTCAATAAAGAATAGGGAAAATGGAAACTAATAATCCAACCTTTTAGCGGTCTTCTTTTAATAGTCCAACCTTTTCGTTATTCATGAATAATCCAACCTTTGCACCTCATCTTCATTCATTGGTCCCCGACCGGTTGATGACCTGCTATTCCGAGTTATTTTCTCATCTCTGCAAACTATTATACCATAAATTCCACCTTTCACAAAGATAATATTTTGCAAAGATAAGAAAATAATTTGGAATAGCAGGTCATCAACCGGTCAGGGACCAGTGAATGAAGATGAGGTGCAAAGGTTGGATTATTCATGAATAACGAAAATGTGGGACTATTAAAAGAAGACCGCTAAAAGGTTGGATTATTAGTTTCCATTTTCCCTAAAGAATATAGTTCTGAAAAATAGCTGAATGATATGGACTACAGAGTACCGTGTAACCGCGGCTGGAGGGTACCATCAGTGATGTACTCTGTAACCAAGCAAGCTCGTTTAGAAACATCATTACACCCACGGCCTATCAACCTGAGCACCCTATCTCCATATAAAAACCTATCCACCGTCCTGAAATCAATCTCCCCCTACACCAAAGCAAGCAAAAATGAAATCCAGAAGAAATGTCCTAGACCATTGTTTACTTATTAAAATATAACTCATACACTCTTAATCTGAGAATTATCACGCTCCTAAAAGAACCAAACAAGTCATTTTTTTGTGAACAAAACATAGTTATTAATTATTATCTGTACAATATATCTATATTTCACGTTTACTTAAACCATTTTTGAGGACGAAAATTTTACATACACATGGATCATCCATCGCAATACACACAAACTACAAATTCAAGCTTAAATTTTAACATGAATAATCAACTTATAACCCAACCATACTCATGCATATTTTGAAACATTAATTTCAAAAAAAAAAAAACACCTCATTACATTAACTCAATTGACATCAAAGTAAAATCTTATTATGTTTCATTGTATAGTTGTTCAATTCTATCTATGGAACTACACTACATACTGAACTATTAGCGCAAGTGTTAACGGTATCAGAGCCTTACATTTAACGACAAATTTGATCATTCTCTAAGACTCTAACCACCACTATTTTTTCTAAAAGAGATCTGATTATATACTCCTCTTGTACATTAGGATATATAGTGTATAAAGTAATAGAGATATCATTAGATACCTTTTCTGTATTTTAGGATAGTATACATATCTATTTATTCTTCCCTTAAATGTAGTTATTCTAGAATCACCTCTAGTAACCTATACAGTTGATGATTTTGAATGAGCAATATACAATAGATTTCACATTTCTACTTAGTATCACAGCCTTCCATTTTCTTTCAGCGAAACCTCTAGAAAAACTTTATTCTCCATTGCTATGTTAGACGGTAGCACTCCCTCTCCCAATTCTGATGACTTGCTGTGATCCAATAGCTCTACCAGAGTTAGCTCTCCTCGGTTATCTGAATCACTCATATTAGCGGTGCATTACTGCTCACTGCTGCTCTTGGCACCTTCTCCTACCAGGTGTTGGACAATGACTTCTTCTCCGCTATTCTCTACGGTCTTGACCTGTATAATGGCCCACTTTGGGCGGCAGTGAACATTCAACTTGACATTCTCCACGCCGATAATCTATTGGATTATTCTCTTGTCCAAAGAAAAAGGGTGGGCTGAGAATAGCCGCCGTGGCCAACCAAGTGGTACCATGCATGCCTATGCCATACTAGGTTGCCAAAAATACAATGCAAATAATGTAGCAATACATGTGTGTAGGTACGTTCACATACTTTGTCACAAACTATATAATTGATTTGTATTAACTCACCCATAAATGAAAAATCATATAGATTACCTTCACATAGATGTAGTAGCCCCGACGGCTAATTTTGAATGCATAGCGTCCTGGTGGCAACCGCATAGGATCCCCCTCTTCTATCGTATACGCATATGACTCTGAGTATTGTCCTTCTCCAACTAGGACTCCCGTCGCCTCAATCTTCCGAAGTAATGTGTCAGAAATGGCATTCGAAAAATCCACTGGTGCTGCAACAAAACACCAATTCATATGTTGTATTGTAAGATCTTAAGTAAAACTAGGCAAGTTTCTTCGTATTTGAAAAAATACTGCAATTTAGGGGAAATCAGATTTTAAAGTTTGAAATCTATGAGATATATAGTGATTACAAATAAAATTTGCTAGGTACATAGATGTATGCAGAGAATCTTTACCGTCATCAACGTAATGTGAATAGAATCTCTCAACATGTCCAATAATGTTGGAGTACTTTAGAAATATCCAGTGTAGTTGAGAATCTTCCTGTTTTGTTTCACAAAAAGTAATATGTAGTAATTTTTTGTAATTTAACGGTTTCTTGAAGTTCAAACATATAGATAAAATGACCTATTTTGATAAATATATGTAAGCACTAACCAAGGTTTTCAATATGATTGAGGTAGATGCCACTAATTTTGCATCATACACAGAAGGGGAGTTTGCCCTACATCAAAGCAATTAGATATATAATTAAGATTCTTTATCTCACTTGAAATATGAAAAATTAAAACTCGAAAGAACGAATTAGTGGCGTACTGAAGCAAATATGAGGAATCAGATAGTCTCAATGCTAGACCATGGAATGCTGTCTCAGCTTTGGAAAGTATCTCAGGCATCTTCGCCGCAATAGCACTGTTATGAGATGCAACTGACTCTGGAAGATGTTGCATCAGCTGTTTAAAATCATCCATCTGAGGGACGTGGTTGAGATCTTCTAAATAAAAAGAGTATAAAGTCCACAATACTGCATTTTCCAAATCTGCGATGCATCTTCGGATCAAGGGGTCATCATGCACATTTGCTACAGGAAATGACCTTTCTAAATCTTCAAAAGAACTGAGATACTGATCATTGAACTTCAAAGCCGGAACTGTGTGCATGCCAAAATCAAGGAAAATAAGTTATAAGCTCGATTATATCCAAGTGTAAGAACAAGTAATGAATTGTGCAAAAACTAGGTTGTGTATGTATTCAAATCAACAAGCAAATTAAAGGAAATGACCTAGAAGCATCTACTATTGAGGTATGTAGTCACCTTTTACTTTAGGTGCACATTATTGATCTAGAAGCCAAAAATGATAAAATAATAAAATATCGAGCTAGCTTGGACCGAGTGAAAAGGCATAACAACTATTTTTACCAAAAATATAATAAATTGAGTGTACCTGTTACATTCTCATCACTTGAAATAGCCCGAATGTTGAATATGCCTATAGCATACTTCAAATATGCATACCAGCTCATAGATGTCACTGATGGAGAGAATGAGGATGGGAATACAATCTCCCATTCATGAACTATCAGTTCTTTGTCATTCACAATCCTGCGTGAATACACATCAGTTACTCTTCACATTATGGCAATGCATTACAATGGACAAACATTACATAATTGGTTTTATAGTATTATCACTATAACAATTAAGATTTGCTATCTAGCTACCCAATTTGTGATGAGGTTGCTTCTTTTGAATCCATCATATCAGGTCCGTCACAGTGATAAACCTAATCAGTTTGGTTATGTCAAGCCACCTAAGCCAGAGTGATTGATACACCTTTCAGCAAAATCCTGTTTCCAAGCTGAAACAAATTAGATAGAGAGCGTCATTTATCACATTGTGGGATGTTGTATGTAGTCAAACATTGCCATATATCGATTGAAAATTTCATGGTCATTCCACACAGATAAAAAAATATAGAAATATATTGCATAGAGCACTAAGGGTGGTGCCCTGCCCTCTTGTGTGTTCATTATGGCAGTTTGGGTAAATGTTTATAAAGAAAAACTATCTTACGCTAATGGCAGTAGCCTTGAACAAAGTAAATAGTTGGATATACGTTGTACATATTGTAGTGACGTTCCAATGAATATAAAACACTTCGATTTGTCCCTTCTCTATAAGGTAAAAAGGGCACATTGATTTGCCTTCAACCTTTCTGGAGATGTGCCCCTTGCACCCCACCCTCTTTAGTTTAAAAAATCGAGCCAAACAAGCTCAGCCATGATTACATTTAGTAGGACTAACCAATAATAGTGGAGGAATAATCAATATTCAAAGAGATAGAGTTTGGTGAAATCAAAATTTTCTTTCTGCAAACAGTTTCCCGAATATCAGTAAGTAAACATCCTTTTTTTGCTTCTGTAAATTTGGCTTACTTCACTAGTAGTAGAACAGTGAAAACCCGAATAGCATATTCCTTGATGTAATTAGTTTCCACAGTATTAAACGAGCGAAAGGAAAAGAGAATATAGACAAGGGCAAAGATTGGAACAACAAAAGTTGTCGTTTCTACCATAAATCCCAAATTTCAAGTGCAGTATTGAAGAAAAACATAAGCACGTCTTGCAGAAAGAAGATAAATGTACATTATCGGAGAAATCACCACGCTATATAAGAAATCAAACTAAGTCAAAAGGTACTCGAGAACAATGAATATATACTTTAAGAGAAAGCAAATGTGGTAAAAACTATGAATAACAGGTGGAAAAATAATGAATATGGCAAATCGCAGTGGAAGCGGATGTGAAATCGAGATTGCTTGAAGTTAGAACGTAACCCGGATGAGTTTCTCTGGCTAGTCAACATCGACCCTATGTACGTATAAGCGGCAAAATACAACCTGAGCATGTGCGAAGGCTGCTGGTTTTAAGCTCCGGCCACCACTAGGTCGCCGGCAATTAGGGGCACGGGGTATCCGGCCGCCAAGCCAGCTCACACTGTTTAAGTATATTTACATGGTACGGTGGAGAAGAAATGCATTACCTCAGTTCTGGACACGCAACAAACCACGTTGTCGGAGGTGAAAGCTTCTCTCTACTACACTTCGGTGGTCGCCGGCGACTGACCGGCCTAGTAAGTGTATGACGCCGGCGAACTGATGAGAGAGAGAGAGAGTACGGCCAATGCAGCAGCACGATTTTATTGAGAAATGAGAATATAGCAGAGTACGGAGTATCGTTTTTGTATTTTTGTAAGAGAAGGAGCAAATTCATTTATTCATTTCATGCGAATGCTGCTATTTCATACTCCGTATGTCGGTATGTATGAGACTCCGTATGTATGAGAGACGAATTCAAAAAAATGTGCCATGGCATAACTGCAATCCTTCAAAAAATGGTTTACGTTTCCTTGCTAGAAGAAGCTAAACATATCATTTTTAGACGAGTGATTTTGCAGACAAGATAAATACGGAGTAGTTTTATCTTTAAAGCTGAGATCATTGATATACTACGTATGTGCTTTGATATTTTATACTTCTTCCGTCATTGGTGATATCTACTTCATTTCGTCATACTCCCTCCGTCCCTTAAAGGTTTGCCATGTTTGACCGGCACGTAGAATAATAAAGTAAAAACTGTGTGGTAGAGATTTGTGCAGAGGAGAGAGAAACAACCAAAAAAGGAAAGTTGGCAAAGTTATAAGAGACGGAGGGAGTATATCACATTTCATTTATTATTGGAATGATACAGAGAAGATTAGCATGACCCCTGCGCAGGGATGACACGCACAAATCGAGAAATGGTACACATTTCATTTATTTTTTTTCGTTTATTAAAGTATTAAATTATGTCAATAATCAATTTCATTTGATTTAATATGTGAATCTAATGGATTATTATATGTTTAAGTGTTTAACATGTGCAACCTTTTACAATGAGCATAAAAAGTATCAAATGAGCATACATAACTTACAAAATGAGTATCGAAATATTAAAAATTCATTTGTGTGTACTCATTCATTTTGGGTGTTGTACTCATTTGAGTTTAACATAAAACTCATTTTGAAATATGCATGAATATGACATTTTAAAATGAGTATTGCCCTAATATCAAATGAGTTTACATAAATTACGAAGAGAGCATTCAAAAAACTCATTTGAAATGTCAACTATGCTCATAATTGTGATACATAACTTACGAGTATCAAAATATTAAAAACTCATTTATGTGTACTCATTCATTTTGGGTGTTATACTCGTTTGAGTTTAACATACAACTCAATTTGATATATGCATGAATATGACATTTTAAAATGAGCATTGCAATAATATCAAATGAGTTTACATATATTACGAAATGAGCATTCAAAAACTCATTTGAAATGTCTACTATGCTTATAATTGTAATTTGATTGCTTCATAGTAGTTTGGAGATAAGTCCATGGTAGACTAGTAGTCAAAAAAGATGACTCAGAAAAGATGAGAAAAGATGATGCCAATGCTAAGCATTAATCGGCAGCTTCCTTTAAATTCCATTGTGCTAAGCTGTAATTCCAATTTGATTCATTGAGACGGTTACACCTGTATGAACTCAGGGAGGATTACGGAAATGGTTTCTCATCAAGTTCCTTCCGGCACATGAAGGGAAAAGGGAGAATCAGAAGTTGCAGAAGCAGTAAACAACCAGCCGGGATCCTTCGTTCGTGAATTGGGCCTATCAATCGCCGTCTCCATAGCAGCTGAAGCCGGAAGCGAGGAAGACGGTTGACACCTGCGCACAAATGAGAAATTAGGGATTAGAAATTTATTGAAAGGTTTAAAGTTGCTAAATATTACAAAAATACCCGATTGTACCATGCACAAGGTACAGCCGGATGTACGGTGGTATTTACGAACATCAGCCAATACAGTCAGAAAAGTAACTCCAACCTTATTTTTTCTGCTTATTACACAATTCAGCGCGTGAAAGCAAAAGCTGCGTGTTTGATGAAAAAGTTGGCAGATAAGCCTGATAATCCGAAAAACGGTGTTACCAAACGGTCTCTAAATTTATTAAGTTTCAGATAAATATATTAGTTGCAATATTGAATCAAAGTGATTTTTAATTAGAAAAGTATAAATTTATTAAGTTTAATATAAATATATCAGTTACAATAATGAATCAAAGTGCTTTTAATCAGATCGAACACCCTAATATTTACCATTTTTCAAAATAGAAGCAAACATAAACACCTCTTGAGTTTTCTGTAACACGGAATTTTATTATTCTAATTCAAAATTTTATTATTTATTTATTTATTTATTTATTTCATATCTTCTTTTTGTAAACAACTTGATACAAAAATAATACAGTAGCAAATAGACTCATCGGGGGCATAAATTCTAGGATCAAGTTAATTTTTTTTATTACTTTAAATAGAATTAGGAATTTTTTAGGGCAACTAAAAATGAAAATTGGCGTAAAATGTTTTTTTGAGCCTGAAAACCCTCTGACAGTAAATAGTTAATTTTTTATTTTAATTATATATATACAATATTGGTTTCATGTGAAAGATTTATGAATTTTGATACGTAGTACATTTTATATAAAATTAGAATACAAATAAAAAATATAGCACACTTTAAATATAATTGGAATTTATATTTTGAATAGGCCCACTTATTTTTCTTACATGCCATCAACACTACTCACTCCTCAGCCCCTTCTTACTTTGGGATGAAAATTTAAAGAAGATTTTTTCACTCCCAGGTCGCGGAGTCTTATGATCTTTATATGAGTAGTTGTTTTTTGCATCATAACTTGCATTCTGTCACTTATATATCTCATAATGGTCAAACCAACAAGTATAACAGTACCGAATGACCGGTGGCTGCCATGGGAGTACCGAAGGGATGGTGTGAAACAGAGAGTACGGACCATCCGTAACAATAGGGGAACCGGCAGTGTGCAAAGATGATCCCGGTTGAGAAGAAATCACTGGCGGCGGCTCGGTCAAGGAGACAGAGGCGCTAGTGAGGACCACGGCTGCGTCGGTAAAAGGGGCAGAAACCGGCGCCATAGTCGAGGAGGTAGAAGCAGCAGTGAAGGCATCCATGGAGGAGGAAGAAATTTCAGTGGTGGAAGCCATGGTTTCGGCGGAAGAGAAGGCAGCGGCCGAAGGCCTAGATCGAACGAGGGTTAAGGAGAGAGAAAGAAAAAAAAAATTTAGGCTCTTGATACCATGTGAAATAATGGGAAAGGTTACCCCAATAGGGTACCTGGCAGGTATATTTATAATAATAAGAGTTTCCAAGAATACAAATTATTCCTAAATTAACATTAGGCTATTACCTAATTTAATATTAGGCTATTAGAATACTCTTCTAATGATGATGAAATTCCAAGTTTTAATATGGTATAAAACAAACATCTTTTTTAGGACACAAAAAATTACACTACTTTTGATTCCAACAAGCCGCCATATTTATGTGTCATCTCCATAAGGTCAAGGCACCCAAGAAGGTAAGCCATTATTTCCCAAAATTATATTTTCATATATGGTATCAGTCGCGCTAGGTTTTTCCCTTCTCTCTCCTATGACCGGCGCCTAGGGGTGGACTCGGGCCGGTCGGCCCGACCCGGGACCGGCCCGGCCCGGTCATCGTTTGGCCCGGCCCGGCCCGTGGCCCGGTGGGTCCACCGGTTCGGTTTGGCCCGGCCCGGGTGCTGGGCGGTCCGGGCTCGGGCCCAGCTTTTGGTGAACCGGCCCGTCCGGTTCGGGCCCGGTCCGGGCCGGATTTTAATTTTTTTTTTAATTTTTTTTAAGTTTTAGGTTGGATTAGGTATTTTGGGCCATTTGAGGTGGTTTGGGATGGTTTGGGGTTGAGGGGGAGGGGTAGGGGGTTAAATAGGAGAACCAAAAAAAAATGTGGGCCGGTTGGCCCGGCCCGGGTTGGCCCGGAACCGGAACCGGCCACCGGCGGTTCGGGCTCGGGCCTATAATTTCTGAACCGCAAACCGACCGGGCCCGAACCGGCCCGAGTCCACCCCTACCGGCGCCAAAACTATGGCTGCTACATCATGGAGGCCTCTCCCAGCGGTACAACAGCAATCCATCGGCTTCATGGACTCTCAGGCGCAACTAGTAATTTTGTTGTCTTCTCAGGCGCCTCAAACAGTGCTGCCGTCTTCTTCCTCCTTTGACAGGGGATCCAGCAGTGTAGTTCCATCGAGCCCACTGCCTCCTTCAACGACCCAAGCTGCGCAGTCCGGTTGGTCTCCGCTTGCAGCTCCTACATCCACATAATAACATAAGATACAAACGAAACATGAGATACAAACGAACATACTGGCGTGTTTGACATTCAATGATTAGCGCATAGCGGATTATGAGCCCGTTTGGTAGCATGAAAATCGGCTGTTTTGGCTGATTCTGCTGAAATTTATGATGTTCTGGCTGAAGTGGCTGCATTGGCTGATTCTGCTGATTTGAGAAAAAATTATTTTTAAAATATATTTTGTTAATAAAATAAAGAAAAAATTATATGTAAAAATAGCTAAAATAGTCATCTACAATAACTTCAGCCAATACAGCCAGAAAAGTAACTTCAATCTTACTTTTTCTGCTTATTACACAATTCAGCACGCGAAAGCAAAAGTTACGTGTTTGGTGAAAAAGTTAGCTGATAAGCCTGATAAGCTGAAAAACAGTGTTGCCAAACGGCCTCTATATAAGCGAGTTGTCAATAGCGGATTCAGTCAGCGGGTTTGACTAGCCGAATAAATGACAGATTGTCAGAAGATTTTTTGTAATTTAGTTGTTTGGCCATAAAATTAGTAGACTACACAATTTTCAAAACGTCAATCCAAAACTCTCCTATTAGCAGCGTTTCATTTCAGTGTTTTTCGTAAAAAAACGCTAATGCCGAACAACTATTTATCAAACAATTTTTTCACTTATTGAAAATGCTGAAAGTGGTCAAACTGCCATTTTTTTTTGCTGAAACATCATTTACCTAACATCTCCACTCCCTTTGTCCTTAATAATGCTTCTTGTTTTCCTTTTTGGTCTGTCTCAAAATGAATCTCCTATTTCTTTTTGATAAAATTGTCATGGCTAAGACAAAAACATAGTTTTCCCCAAAATAGGTGTTGGGATATATTATCTCGGTTCGTTACTGTACAAAAGCCCAAGACTGTACGTAGTACGGAGCCCAGTCTGTGAGGCCCGTTTTAGCCTATCAGGCATGTTTCGGCCCTTTGGGCCCATTTTGGGCTTACTTGGCCTATTAGGGTAGACTTATTTCCTTCTCCCTTTCCCCTATAAATATGGGGCTTTCCCACATGTTTAGGGATCCTTTTTTGGGGTTGGTCTCTTCTACCCCACTTCTCCTCCTTCTCTCTAGAATAGATTAGCTAGCTTTATCCTCCATTAATGGGAGCTTGAATATGTACTTTGTAATGGTGAGGAGAACCTAATGAGAATGAGAGGGCTTGGACATTAGCCTAAAAAAGTCCCAGGGTTTTCTACCTTTCGGGTTTCCACGTAAAAAGAGCTTGTTC